ATATCTCAACCACACAGTTTTTACTTTATTATTTCTCGTGCTGGTCAAACATGGCAAAGTATTGAGGGACGGAGGGAGCATTGTATTTCCTTCGCCTTACTGGACTTTGTCATCATTCCTTTTTTCACTTGTCTAGAAAACCTTACATGTTTTGATTTAGGGTGTTTTTACTTGGACTGTAATTTGTTGGTTTGGTCTGATATATATGGTCTGATCTGATCTGGTCTGAAGTGGTCAGGTCAGGTCAGGTCAGGTCTGGTTTCTTTGTATTTTTATAACTACCCAAGTCTGATCCGGTATGGTCTGGTCTGAGACAAATTACAGTCCAAGTAAAAATATCCTTAAAGTAATGAATGAATTTGTGATTCAATTTATTTTCCCCTCTTTTCAAAAATCTTCACCACACTTTTTTTTATTTCACTCTCAATCCAAAATTGACAATGATCAAAGAGAAGGTGGTAATTTTATTCATGGCCGAATTATATGATTGTGAATTTTAAAATGAATTTTATTAGTAGGAATGTTATATATACGGTTGTGTTTTAAGAAATAAAATTTATTAAGTGTGAATTTCTTCATGAAAAATTTCTCAAATGATTCTAGAATTTTGAGTAGGAATTCCAAATTTATGTGTGGTTTCATAGTTGTAAAATGTCACCGAACTTTATACACATGATATATATTCCATATATATGTCCAAATATTATGGAATACTCTTTTGGCATCATTGCATTTATGGACTAACAAACTAAAATTGATAGCAGTACCTACCGATAATCCTTATTCTAGAAAGATATATTTTGCACAAATTAATACTCCTTGACTTCATGAAAGAATAACAACGGATGTCATTTAAAATTTTACATAATTATTCCCATTATGCCCTTAAATTGGGCTAGATTTTTACCACCAAAAATAGTATTAACTGTGCTACTTTATATTATATAAAGAATGGCGAGACTTAATAATATGAACCGATAAATATATTTCATTTCATATTCTTTAGTAGATGTACGGGGAATCGATATTGCTATTCTATTTATTTCATGATTGGTTTGTTTGAAGAATGTATTTCATGATTAATTATTTTATTTACATGTGACGTTACGTAACTACAACTTTTTTTGTAGAAGACGTAACTACAATTTAAATCCTGAAAACCTTAAAACTAAATTGAGCTTGAGAAACGTTTCCAGAACATTACAATTAAGATTTGTACTTTAAATTAATACATAAGAGAAGAGATTTGTTACCAAATTAAGACTATTTTTATCATGACTACAATTATTAATACATTAGGGAGAGAGATCTTTACTAAATTAGATATACTACGTACCTTGTATAACTTAATTACACCTTGCATAACTTTAGGAGGGAATTTTGGAGCCAAAAATTGGAGACACTTTGTTACTTTATATTATATAAAGATTTCAAGTGTGGATAAAGTCAGATCTGATATTGATCTTTGTTTTCTAATGTGTTCAAATAATCACCTACTGGAGGTTAAGTTAAGTTAACTAATTCAATCATTTATTTTTGAAAGAAATGAAAAAAAAAACTTCACATGAGTAACTTCTATGTTGAGGTGTATGGTGTTTGTATTAAAAATCATCTCAAGATTTTTGTTATGAATTAGATTAAAAATCAAATTCATCAAATCAGTAAATGAACAAATGTATGGAATCTTTATTGCCCAGTATATACATATATACACGTAGTGTTTATAGACTTTGGTTTAAGTGAAAAATGTATCTAACATGAGAAATGAGAATGAATCTCAACCGTTATTTATGATGTTGCGCTAAAAATGGCTTCATGTTGCAGTAGAATTTAAATTTTGCAATGTTGCATTAAAACTATTTCATGCAGCAATAAAATTTGTCGGTGATGCACCAAAACTACTTCATACTACGTATTGTTCTACACAAATGTAATATGAATTTTTCAGAAGTATTTACAGAAATTGTACCATGCTAGGTTGCATATTTCAGTGTAACATAGTCAAATTCAATTGCTAAGATATATTCTCATTTCTCACCTAAGAGCTTCTTCTTATTTGAACGTCACCGAGTGTGTGTGTGTACGTTTTCTACACAATGTTCCTGTCTTTAGGAGAAAATTGAACAATACTATATTTTCAAAGTTATATGTACAAAAATAAAAAATATTGTACCAATATTTTTAGTCAAATTGTTCAAAATTGATTACCGGTTGAAATATTTATGACAAATTTGTATGCTGGATTCAAGGAAGAGAAACACACTTTCACTTTATTTTTTCTTTGAGTATGTTTGCCTTTGAACACTGTGAGCATAAACATAATTATAATTCAGTATATGGAAAGCATGAGGAAACATTTATAAACATTGCAATTATATGGCTTGAATGGGATTGTTTTACAAATGTTTATTCTTTTCAATACTTATCAAAACTAAAATCTGAACTGCATGTTTATGCCGATAATTGATTTGTTGTTAAGGCACGTGTGTGTATTTTTGTAAATAATGTATTGTGTACATAAATGAGCCCAAAAGTGTTTAGCTTAGCTTTAATAATAATAATAATAATAATAATAGGGCTGCGGTGAATGTGTATCCCCTACTCTTCTAAAGCGTGGAAGAGAGTTACTCTTCGTGCTTACTCCGTTGCTACAGTTCAATCGTTGGTTTCCCTTAGTTAACGCCCGTCTATTTCTCTTAGCTGCTGCTCACCAGCTGAAAATATCTCCCACTTGGTTTTGCTTGAGGTAAATCCGTCTGGCGCCTCTGCTATCTGGACCGCACAAACCTATGATGCTGCTGCTATGTTACTGTGAGGGTTAAGTTCCATGTGTTACTAGTGCTTCAGGGCAGATACTTTGAAGAGTCTTGGAGGGCTCCTGGAAGGCGTCGCTGGTGGGGATTTTTGCAGAAGCAGTCGACTGAACGAGAACTCCGGAGATCAAGCGACTGGAATCGACGGTGGACTCTGAGACAGAGCTACAAGGCTCTCTTCTCCGGCGACCAGCGGCACAGCGACTACTAAAGACTTGATCGACCGCCTTGCAGGTACCAAGCTCGTGCTTCTCTCCATTTACCGTTCTCTTGCTTCCCCTCTTTCTCTTGTTTCATCTTTTACTGGCGGTGCGTATTGTCCTGGTTTAATTGCGTTTAGGTTTCATATCCGGTTCTTCAATTGATTTGGGAGGTTTTGTGTGAAGAAAAGATCGACCAATTGAGCACATGTTCATGGATATGATGATGGAAGGCGCACACCCACACCAGATTTTTTAGAGAAGGTAAATCAATTTACTATTGACTTTAACATCTTTATTGTGGCTTGAAAGATTGTACATACAGAAAAGTGTCAAATTGGTCTTATAATTGGATAAGCTTGAATTGAGTTGTACGTAGGATTCAGTTTTGAGCTCAAGGAAGTTCCTTCTTTAAAAGTTGCTTCATGCCTAACAGTTGAAGTGTTGAATAGTTCTGGTTTACCAAGAAAGACACATTTTGTGGTTTCATATTCTGTTTAATGTTTGTTTTAGTTAAGTGCTCCTGTTGCAACTTTTTAATTTCCTTTTTAGAATACTTTTGATGGATTAATAACTGAGATGCTTTTTTTTGTTGCCAATTTATTTTTGTTTTAAATAATACAGGTCCAAGTGGATCTTCTGCATATAGGATTAATAATAAGCTTTAGAAAGGAGGATTTGTCAAGTGTATGTTGGCTGTTGAACATCCACACTCTTTCTTCGAACTACTTGAATATTCAGTATTTGACCTAATAAAACATTAAATGTACTGTTGTAGATGTATTTTTGCATCATTTTTTGGATTGAGCGCTCTTTGGTTTCATTATTGGACAGGTTATTGCAGCAACTACGTACCAGATAATATCTGCTGACACCCTGTATGCTGAGATTCCTTTGGCAGCTGTTAGATCTCAATATCAACAAAAGATTCATTTTTGTTCATGCCAATTCAGTTTTTTATGAATAATCTCTTTTCCCGTGTTTAATTTTGTCAGTTAAAATTCATAATGATTTTTTTGTCTTCATTCCAGTCTCCTCCATTGAAGTATAAACTACATTACTGCTTTATTTCATATGCTTGAAATAGCACCATGGATTTATCTTTTGCTTCTGGCAATAGTTGACTAGACCATGGGTTACTTGCAGGGAATAGGCCGCTTATTATCATGGAACTGAGAAGGAGATTGCAGAATGTAGGAATAAGGACAGTTTTTTGTTGAGGGAGACAAGGAGTCTGAAGGATTCTAGCTTAAACAGGTAATGTTCTAATTGGTGACCATATGAGAGTCATATGTTTTTGTGGTTTATTATCCTTGTATGCTTGTGTCAGTTGCGTGCCGTGGTGGAGACAGGGAGGGGCTGGAAGGAGCCTCGCCCCCCAAGAAAAATTTTGTGATGTATATACATATGTGTAGATATTTATAAGCAGTAAAAAACACACTGAAATCTTAAGCTTTGCGTCCCCAATATAAATTCTTTAAGCCGTGGCCTTCCTAATCTGACATTTCCGGCTCCGTCAACTGATTGTGTCGTTTATCCAAAAAGTAAAAGTAAAACAGTCATAAACTCACAACCCAAAAGCTTTGTTTTCGTTAGAACTATAGTATTCTTGTTCTATTTCTAATCGATTTTCTTTCTCTGTGATATTATGACCATGTCTCGATGCTGCATGGAAAAAGGAAAATGAAAAAAATGTTATGAAAGGTCTTCTTATTAAATAACTGGTTTTACACTTTTACCTTGAAAATATGAAGGAACATAAATGCTGATTATTTATTTAGATTTTAGTCTTTATATAATAGAAATATATACAAAAACACAAGCTCAACCATATATCTAAAATGGATTTATTGAGCGTCAAATATCTTGCATCACTCAGATTTTCTTTCCTTTCAGATTTGCTCTCTTTCTTACTTCTTACTTTCTTAGTCTCACTCCCTAGCATTATTTTGCTCCAAGAGTACTGTACACATATTGCCAAACTGTGCAGGGCTTCATAGTAATTGGTCAGGTAGATGCAAAAGGCAAAGCTCGAAGGCTTCCTATTAGGCCAAATATTCGCAGAATGTTGTGCTTTCCTGGTGGCTCATCTCTCATGGTTTCTTATCTTAACAATGAAAGTCCAACAAATCCACCAGAGCGTCCTGTGATAAATCTACCAGAGAAGAACTATTCATCTTATATCTCTCAGAAACAAGACTATCAAGTAACCGAAGGGGACCACTCTTTCAAGGAAGCACTAAATCAAAATATGAGATCAGAAATGACACCGCATTATGGTATGCACATATATAACTTTTTGCTTTAGCTTAATTTTATTGTGCCAGATAAATGAGAGTGCATATAAACCAAATGTGAGCAAGCACACACCATGAGGTTATTAATTCACAAAACAAAGTTTTAATATACGTAATTATCCTTATCTAGGACAAATATCTTGTAAATCTCAACTCTTAGAATTTGCTTAATTGGGTCCCTTTGATTACACTTAACTTTTGTATTATCTCCTAATATTGTGATTCGGTCCTTGAGCACACAAATATAAAATTTGGAGTGTCCTTGTAAGTAGTTAAATCTCTACGCAGTGATTACTCGGGATTACTCAGTCCTGCATTAATAAAAGTATAGATATATATGCCCCAAGTTATAGTAAAATATAAGCCTTATAAGTCTCATGTATAATACTCCTAAAGCGACTATAATTGAGAAACTCACTGAAGAAACTCTGAGGGTTGGGATCATCTCAAGGAACTGTTATCCAAATGTGGAGGTTCACAGGATGTTTCAATTTTACCATTCTGCAGTCTTGTGATATAGCATTGGAAATTCCATATTCATATTTCAGGTATTCTTGTCATCTTTAACAGCTCAAAGATAAATTGGAGAGACTTACTTGAATGAAACAAGTTCTAGATCACTTCAAATCCTTAAACTCGTACATGACTTGTATTCTTTTGTGGTCGGTTTCATTTAATCTTACTAGACTAAGTTGTTACTCTTCTCAAACAATTGAGAGCTTTGCATTTTTAGTATGCTGAAGAGTTTTTTGGTAGAGAATGATTATACACACACCATTGTCTGCACTTTGAAAAGGATCTGGTGAGGGTAATGCTTATGCATGAAGTATTTGAGCTTAAATAGAACATATTTGAGGTATGCTGAAGAGTTTTTTCAGTTTCTTCAATAAAGTGATACTTCGAGTTTTGAGAATATGTTGTGTGTGCTCATTGATAACATATTAACATGTCATTTGTGAATGCTAAAGAGTGTTATTTGTATTGATTTCCGGTGTAATATATCTAATAGTTTATTGCGTCATTGATAGGTGTGGTGTAATCATTATGTTATTTTACATCTAATACAGAAAGTTATTGTTCATCCTTTAGAATCACCAAATTGAAATATTTTGATGTATTGTTAAATATGGATATTCAAACATTAAGAATACTATTTTAAAGCACATTTTTGATATGACAGGTTGAATAAGGAAACATGTGATTTGCAAAAAAATGAAGTATATTTTCATATAATGCATGATCTTACGTGGATTCCTCAACAGCCCTTTTTTGTCTCAATCGGGAAATGAGGTGAGCGTTCATGTGTCTGATAGTTTACTTTTGATATATTATTTAACAGGGTACATTATTCCAAGATACAGCTCCAATCTTTTGTAGTGTAACAACGAAAGAGAAGTATCATTTTGGGCTGTTTGGTTTCATGTGAGTGAAATTACAGATCTCTCTCAAAGCTTTTAGGTTATGTCTTTTCAATTTGATGGTCATGCTTCTCTCCTATGTTTGTGATGTCCAGTTTTATTCTGATTATGGTTTGATAAGTTCCTCTGATGTCTTTCATTTTCAAGTTAGATTAATCTCATTTGTTTAATTTCCACTATTTTTTTTAGGTTTTACGCTTTAAAATAATTCTATAGATGAAAAATGCAGAATTTTCATTTTCCCTCATATCCAACCTAGAGTAAATGACATCTAGGTCAACTCAAACTTTGGCTTATAGCTATGTAGTAGTCTATGTTTGGGATGAAAATAAGGAAGGTGACTGAGTGTACTTTCACTATTCGTAAAAGGCTTGACCTCAATTTTGAACATTCTTATTTCAATTAATGCAGATTCTTATTTTCAATTAATGAAATAATAGTAAAACTACTATTGCTAAAATTATTATTTATTCATAAATATGGACATGAATAAATATTTTTATATTCGGTTTAGTAAAAGTGATTGGTGTAATACTAACCTCAACATAGCAAAAGAAAATCAAAACTATAATGATAACACTTTCTTGTTTATTCCCAACCCTCCTCTCTCATCTCGCTTTTCCTTTCTTCTTTGTTTATAGTAGGTTTAGGTGTTATTACTCTTGAACCTAAGGGGCATTACCCCAGTAGTTGGTCAAGCCTAGGAACACTACTCCAATAGGAAAGATTTCCTTGCATTTCTGAAATATATAAGAGAGATTTATTGGAATAAAAATAATCACAATAAATTGTCTCCAATGAGAACAACATCCTAGGGTTCATTCATTTTCTAAAATCCTCAATGTTGGAGCGATTTTCATTTCATTTTTGCTGAACTTTAAGACTCTCTGGTAGAGTTGTCATTGGGTAAGCTCCGTATTTGAACTACTCTTTTTTGTTTTGAGTTTAATTGTTTTTGCACATCTTTTTCCTTTGTTTTCCAATGGGCACGGGATTACATCGCTAAAAAGGGGAAAAGTTTGGGAAATTTAGGTGTTTTAAATGTTAGAGGCCTCCCATAAGTTAATTCTTTGTGATGTATTTGTGCATCCTTTTTTTAATAAAGTACATTTTTCTCGCTTTACCGAATGTTGGGCCCAACCGTCGCGCAACGCGCGCGCCGAAGCTAGTATATATATACGGATGTACTCTTTTGATTGAGGCAGGAATATTATTCAATAATAACTTTTCCATACTAGTGCACAAATATAATATGGTATCAGAGCCTCAATAGGATCGACGCAGCTCTTCTCTTCCTTCTTCAAAATATAACTGTGCGGCACCAGCGTGCTTAGTACGATGACCATGGGAGACGAAGCTTCATCAAAAATTGATACATCTTTTGATTGGATTATTGATACCGGGGCATCTCACCATGTCACGAGTGATTCATCTTGTCTTACAAATATCACTAGTATCTGTGAGTGTTTGGTTGGGTTGTCAGATGGACGACATGCGACGGCCGTCTTGGAGGGCAGTGTGTATCTCACTAAACATATTGTCCATCATGTTCTCTATGTACCTGGGCTAAATTGTCATCTTATTTCGGTATCTCAGTTGGCTGATCAGTCTAAGTGTATTATCGCTTTCACTAATTCTTCTTGTGTTATACATGACCTATGCTCGAGGAACCTGATTGAAGCTGGTGAAAGACGAGATAGTCTTTATTACTTCCTAGGTGTGCCCGAGATACATGCTGTCAAGAGGCCAAAAATGACTGACTTTGAATTGTGGTTCGTAGGTTGGGTCATCCCTTCAAACAGAGTTGTTAAATTACTACCCATTGTTAGTTCTAGTGCTACCAAAAAGAAATTAAATAAAGCTTGTGAGGTGTGTCCACAAGCCAAACAAGTTTGTGACTCTTTTCCTACTAGTACTAATAAAGCGAGTCAAATTTTGGAGCTGATTCATTGTGATTTGTGGGGATCTTACAAAACCTTGTCTACGTGTGATGCTATTTATTTTATGACACTCGTTGATGATTTTTCACAGGCAGTGTGGGTCTATTTATTGCAGGATAAGAAGGAAGTTCATAAATATTTCCTCTCAGTTATTGCTATGGTTGAAAAACAATTTGAAGTACCTGTGAAAACTGTTCGTAGTGATAATTGAACAGAATTTAAATGTCTGTTGCCATCACTGTTCTAAAAATCGGCCTAGGCGGCCCTAACTATAGAGACCTAATCGGCCTAGTCGGTAAAAAAATCGGCCTAGTCGGCCGAAAAATCGGCCTAGTCGGCCGCCTATGCGCCCCTCAACCGCCCGACTAGCGCCTAGCGAGTTTTAGAACAATGGTTGCCATATTTTTAGGAACGTGGAATTCTTTTTCAAACTACTTGCGTTCACACACCCCAACAAAATGGGAGAGTGGAGCGCAAACATCATGAAATTTTAAATGCGGCTCGTGCTTTAATGTTTCAGCAGAGATTCCTATTAATTTGTGGGGCGAGTGTGTTCTAATGGCGGTGTATCTTATTAGTCGCACACCTCCCGCGTTGTTGGGGGTAAAACTCCTTACGAAGTTGTCACAAGAGTTGCACCGGATTTTCTTCATTTGAGAGTTTTTGGGTGTCTATGCTTTGCTAATAATCTCAAGTCTAAAGGCGATAAGTTTGCTCTGTGGAGTCGGCGTTGTGTGTTTATTGGGTACCCTAATGGTAAGAAGGGATGGGAATTATATGATTGAGCTTCTGGTAACATTTTTGTATCTCGTGATGTTCAGTTCCATGAGGACGAATTCCCTTTTTCGGATGTGTCATAGCATTAGCTGGACCCTCATGTATTTCTTCTACACGTGCGGCTGATTCGGTGTTCTCCAGTAACTCATCATCAAGAATAAAGGGAACGGTGTCATGCAATTTGACGAGCACTTTGTCGTAGTGTGGCTCAAATTAAATTCACTACTAAGGGCTAATACCGTAGTATAGCGTAGTAGAGTTCGTATCCACAAGGAAAGGAGCTTTTCGCGTATATGTAAGCGCGTAATAAAAAAAAGTAAATGGAAGGGGGAATTGGATATTTTGATAATTGAGAAAGCAAATAAAATACTTAAATGAGTGAAATAAAATATCAAATGTAATTAGTCTTGGTTTTGCTTTTATCCACTTAATGAAATGTTCGTCGATCCCGGTTATATCTTTAACTATCTTTCTCTTGAATACTCAATCGAGGAGTATATCCAGTTCATCGAGGGTAGTTATTAATAACGAGACGCGTTCATTAATAAAACTTACTACCGAATTAATATAGAACACGCGCCGTATATTTACTCGATAGTAGCAATAAATTCCAGATGAAAACGATTGAAATTGATAACCTCAACACAAGCGGTTTATTGATTTAATCAATATAATTAACTCCCCTTAGATTATTAACCATGAGACGCATGCATTAATAATCCATATTTACTACCGTGAAAAGATCGAACGATTAACAAGCGTATTCGTCGATCGATTCTGGTAATAATTAATATATGAGACAAAACTAGTTGATCCTTTAAGTAATGCTCAAAATATTAAAATGAAATATGAATAGGAATTAATTAATATTCAAGGAAGAATATTAAAGAAGACATAAATCCTACTCTAACTAATGTCGAGATGTTAACTAATTGTCATCTTAGTAACACTCCCCAACATTAATATAGAGATAGTATTAAGGGAAAAATTAATATTCAAGGAAGAAGATTAAAGAAAATAACTCACAACTTACAATTCATTAAGTTTCAAAGTAGCAAAACCAAGATGGAAAGACTACCTAAATTACAAGAATAAAGTGTATATGAAAGAGGGGATTAAATTGGTATCTAAAATAGGAAGGAAAGAGGTGTTTTTATAGAAGTGAGGTGGTTGGGTCTAAGACATAATCTGATTTTCCCATGTTCACTTGTTTTATTTGATCTCTTATGATCTCCGGGTCGAATCATATCCGATTTTTCACACATCTTTGTCCTCCATGAAGCTTCCTCTTGTCTCCAATGCTCTCAAGCTCCTTCCTCTTCTTTTAATCATGTTTTTGCTTACATGTCAAAATATCTTAATATCTTCTAATTCTTCTTTAATTTTAGAAGATAAAGATTACACCGTAATTGTACAAAAGCTAAGTAAACATAATGTAAAACCATTCTAAAATGTGGTGTTTATGTACTACTAAATAGTACGCATCACAATTGTACCTCTTTCTCCATATATGTGGATTGCGACTGTTCAAGAAGTTTATATGAAACCTCCATTAGGTTTTTCCTTTTCTCGACCTGTTTTAGTGTGTTGGCTACGGAAATCCTTATATGGCTTGCATCATTCACCTCGGTGCTGGTTCGCCAAGTTAGCGGCATCTTTGAAAAATTATGGCTTTTGTTTATCTTATTCCGTTTACTCTCTTTTTACCTACCGCAAAGGGGTTATCCATTTAAATGTGCTAGTTTATGTGGATGATTTGATTATTTCAGGGAACGATTCGTGTGCCTTAACTAATTTTAAATCATATTTGAGTTCGTGTTTTCACATAAAGGATCTTGGTGCTCTCAAATATTTTCTTCGCATAGAGGTGGCGCGTAGTGCTGATGGTATCTTTCTCTGCCAGCGCAAGTACACATTAGATGTTATTGAAGAATCGGGATTTCTTGGGGGCAAAGCCTGCAGTTTTCCCAATGGAGCAAAATCATACTCTGGCTTCAACGAGTGATCTACTATCTGATGTGGAGTCATATAGGTGTCTTATGGGTCGCCTTATATATCTCTCCTTCACTCGTCCTGACTTAGCATACTCTGTTCGTATTCTCTCTCACAGTTCATGCAGGCTCCGCGAAAGATCATTGGCATGCGGCTCTTCGGGTTGTTTGCTATCTCAAAAATTGACTGGGGCAAGGTATTCTTTTAAGCTCCACATGTGATTTAACTCTCACTGGCTGGTGTGACTCCGATTGGGCCAGCTGCCCCTTAACTCGTCGCTCTCTCACTGGGTGGTTGCTGTTTCTTGGTGGCTCTCCTATTTCTTGGAAGACCACGAAGCATCACATTGTTTCTTGTTCGTCTGCTGAAGCTGAATACTGCTCCATGGCAGCGGTTACTGCGGAATTAAAATGGCTCAAAGAACTGCTCTTTACTCTCGGTATTCCTCATGATCATCCTATGTCGTTGTTCTGTGATAGTCAGTAAGCACTTCATATTGCTCAAAATCCGGTGTTTCATGAACGTACGAAGCACATTAAAATGGATTGCCACTACATTCGTGATGCTATTCAGGTTGGTTTAATTGCTACTCAGCATGTCTCTACTGATGAAAGCTTGTTGACATCTTCACCAATGCTCTTGGCAAACGGCAATTTTATTATATACTCCCTTCGTCCCGAAAAGGTTGGCCAAAGTTGACTTTCACGTGGATTAATAAAGTAAAAACTGTGTGGTTGAAATTTGTGTAAAGGAGAGAGAATTAACTTTAGCCACATATTCCTTACTTTAAATGGAAATGACCAATCTTTTTGGGACATCCAAAAAAGGAAATTTGGCCAACCTTTTCGGGACGGAGGGAGTACTTGGCAAGTTGGGCATTTTTTATCCCCATGCTCCAACTTGAGGGGGGATGTTTCTTTTTCAGTTCTTAGTCGATCGATTATGGCGGAAAACCCTAAGCTGACGGCAACGCCGTCGCCTGCACAGCCACCACAAATGAAGGGCGCATGGGCAGCAAACAAGAAATCTTTTGTCTCAGTCCTTCTTGATAATGCAGATGCATCTCTTTCTTCAGCCTCACTATCTCGGTTCAAAGGTATGCCATCAGCAAGCTTTTCTGAGGACGATGCCCAGATTCTTGCAAATAAACACAATCGGTCGTTGGTTGGATAATTCTTCAAGAGCCGGTCTCCTATGAATACGTTACGTAAGTCGTTTGAAATCATTGGTTTTAAAGGGGGTTTTCATTTAGGTTTATTGGAGAAAAAGCATGTACTCATTCGGTTTGATCTTGAAGAAGATTATATCCGTTGTTGGAATCGTCAAACTTGGGATATACATGGTAACATTATGAGGGTTACCAAGTGGTCCCCGGACTTTAGGACTAATGTGGAATCTCCTGTGGTTCCGGTATGGTTAACATTTGAGGGGCTGCCTATCCATTTACATGATA